CTCCCCCCCCCCCCCCCACAGCCCATAGGGTAAAAATGGAGAGATCATTTGAGGTGAAGTGTGTGTGTGTGTGTGTGTGTGAGTTTCTCCTCAAACTCAGGTTCATCCTGGTTTGTTTGCAGCTCAAATGTCACTGATTGGTTCCTGGGATAAAGTCTCTTCATGTCAGTGTGAACAGACGGTTGAACCATGTGACCACCTGACCATGTGACCACCTGACCATGTGACCACCTGACCATGTGACCACCTGACCATGTGACCACCTGACCATGTGACCACCTGACCATGTGACCACGTTCACGTTTTACCTCATTTGTTTTACTCCCAGCACCAAATATTTATAATAAATAATCTGGAGGTCAGGGGGGTCAGGGGGTTGGCGAGGTCAGGGGTCAGGGGGTTTGGCGAGGTCAGGGGGGCAGGGGGGTCAGGGGGGGTTATTATAGTGTTGAATGTGAGAACAAAGATGGCCGCTGATCATGTGACCTCCCTGTTTCTCCTCAGTGTCTACGGCTGCCCTCTGGCCAAGAAAAGGAAGGCTCTGGAGAAACAGCCACTGGAGCCCGCTGCCAAGAGGAGGTCCTTCCTCACCTCCTGCCCTGGGGGGGAGGAGGAGGAGGAGGAGGAGGAAGAAGCCAGTATCTACACCAGCTACGAGAACCAAGGCATGGAGGTGGAGAAGGAGCAAAGAGGGGTAGCAGAGGAGGAGGAAGAGGAGGAGGAGGAAGACAGGGAGGCGGAGGATGAGTTCTCAGAGGAGCAGGGAGATGAGGAGGAAGAAGAGGAGGAGGAGGAGGAGGTGGAAAGAGCAGGTGAAACAAGAGGAGCTCAAGCAGAGGAGGCGGAGGAGGGGGATGACGAAGAAGATGATCAGGAGGATGATGGAGAAGAGGAGGAGGAGGAGGAGGAGGAGGAGGAGGAGAACCAGGAGGGTGAGTAAAAGACAAACACTTTGCTAACTTTGTTGTTGGCTAACATTTAGCTTTCCTTTGTTACTGATACTGTTGTGAGCTACAAGTTAGCTCCGTTAGCTCCGTTAGCTCCGTTAGCTCCGTTAGCTCCGTTAGCTTAATTGGCTGAATTAGCTCAGTCTGTTCATAGGGACTGCTGCTCCTCCAGACCGTCACACAGGCTGGAGTTGAACCTCAGGTTGATCACAGTCTCATATCCTGGTCCTGGTCCTGGTCCTGGTCCTGGTCCTGGTCCTGGTCCTGGTCCTGGTCCTGGTCCTGGTTCTAGATCTCACTCTGTAGAAATGACCAGACTGATTTAAAGGTTCTGTTTCTGCTGCTGGACCAGATCCTTAGCGTTCCCCTCTTCACCCCC